ATGGTGACACTGTATAACATCTTTGTCTGCCAATATGTACCCTGAGATTCAAGGAAACAAATGGGAAACAAAGAAATTGAAAATGATTCATCTATGCTGTTTGTTGAAAAATGAATTTTCATTATTTTCAAACATTTTTTTCCATTCATCAATTTCTATTTTTCGTATGTCCTTGAACTCTCTCAGCGATACTTGTGGGTCTCTTCAATCTTGGGAACAGAAAAAGTCGCGTCGTCATTCACATCTTCTCGACTTCTGTGAAAAGCTTAAACCACTTCGAAATTTTTTTCTGACTCAGAGTACTATCACCGTATGCCACTGTCAATATTTCAAGTGTTTTTGAGCACAGAATTAAATTTTTACACAAAATTTGATGCAAATCATTTGATTGATTTTTTTTGGTAGCAGAAAACATCTGAAAACGAAAAATCGATGAAATAAAAATGATAAAGATAAAGCCAACCAGTTTTAATAATTATTCAAATGAACGTGAACTTTAATTTATTATACATATATTAAAAGTCACTTGGAAGCCTGTGTGCATTCGTGTAGTATTTTAGAAATACATCAAGTAGGTACCGGAAACCCGCAAAAACATACCTAACAGTATGAAATTGGAGCGGTGTGAAATCGAAAATAAAATTGTTCCTCTTGATGGAGGATGGGGATATGTTGTGACTGTTCTGATGTTGGATGTGAAAAAAATGACTACTGAATGTAATTGAATATACAGGGTGCAACTGAATAAGTGTAAAACATTTAAGGAGGTGATTCCTCATCGAAAAAAAGATGAAATCTTTCATATAAAAAAAAATTCATTGGAGCATCTCTTATTAAGATACAGCCCCTCAAAGGGGGTACATGAAATTTGTATGACAATTTTTTTCCACAAGCACTGAAGGAGTTACAATATTGAAATCAACCTGACGTTTTGTACTACCAAAAAGACACTCAGTCAGTAATTTATTTGGTTTACCCCATGGTTGTAAGGGGTGGAAAACCCAACCCCTAAATTTTATTTCCAATGTCCTATTATATGTTTACCATTTAAAAATTTATTTCCGATAGCTTGTTTCATTCTAAACAAAAAATGTCTCTTGGGTTTTTTGCCCGAAATAAACCAGTTCGCAGCAAAAAATTATTTTACGAACAATTACAGAGATACATCGTCATACATGCGAACTGGATTTATTGTTATTTTGTAGTTGGTACCTGCATTGAACGATTGGAGGGTAATAAACAAAACTAATTTATTAATAGCAAAACATACAACATGTAGAAATAATAGTAAATGTTTAATATGTCTACCTTCAGACATTACGCATGCGTCTAGACGTCGGCGCATTGAACCACGTATTTGCTCAAATATTCCTGGAGTATCTCTGATTACCCTGCACCCATCGATGATGCAGTTTCTCAAGTCCTCTACATCGCGAACAGTAGTACGATGAACCAAATGCTATAAATGGCCACAAATAGAGAAATCGAGAGGATTGAGATCCGGGGATCGAGCGAGCCAGTTCTGTGGTCCTCCTCGACCTATCCACTGATTTGCATGTGTTTCAGTTAAATGCTGACGTGCTACTTAACTAAAATGGGCGGGAGCCCCATCATGCATAAAGAACATATCCCTTCTGACGCCCAAAGGAACTTCTTCCAGCAGTACTGGATGCACTTCTCTCAAAAATTGAACGTATGCCCCAGCATTTAATCGAGTAGGTAGAAAATGAGGCCCAATTAAATCATCCCCAATAACTCGTTGCAGATGGTGGGGTATGAGAGTTGTTCCATTAAAATTCGAAATACCGTCATATGATCAACATTTCCTGGAAAGCAATCTTTCTAGTACTAGTAGTAGGTTGTTCTTTAATCAAATTAAGTACTGCTTCCTCAAGCTGTGGTGTTCGTACTTCTCGATGGCGACCACAATCCTGCGTTCTTTTGTCGAATGGTGATGAAGTCGAGCAAATATTCTATGTGTAGGATGCTGCCGTTGAGGATACATTTCAGCATATCTTCTAGAAGCTTCTAACCCATTCCCCTGCGACAGACCGTTAACGTAATGCATATCAGACATTTCCTTATTTAAGTATGTCATTTTAATAACAAGTGAATTAAAAAAGTAACAAATCAAGAACCGAACAACAACAGACAATTAGTATTATTTCAATTTCGAAAATTAACGAACCGACAGCGTCACACCAATTTAATTGTCACTATCGCTAATAGCGACCTACTAGATAGATAAGTTTCGTATTTTCGCATTTATGACGATGTATCTCTGTAGTTGTTCGGAAAATAATTTTTTGCTGCGAACTGGTTTATTTTGGGTAAAAAACCCAAGAAACATTTCTTGTTTAGAATGAAACAGGCTATCAAAAATAAATTAAATTTTCAAATGGTAAAGAAATGATAAGACAAAAAGTTACATTGGAAATAAATTTTAGGGGTTGCGTTTTCCACTCCTCACAACCATGGGATGAACCAAATAAATTACTGGCTAAGTGTCTTTTTGGTAGTACAAAACGTCAGGTTGATTTCAATATTGTAACTTTTTTAGTGCTTGTGAAAAAATTTGTTATACAAATTTGATGTACCCCATTCAAGGGGCTGTACTTTAACAAGGGATGCTCCATTGAAATTCCTTCATCCGAAAGATCCTCTCCTATCATTCTATCCTTTCCTATCTTTCTTTTGATGAGGAATCACCTCCTTAAATGTTTTACACTTATTTAGTTACACCTTGTAGTTTAAAAAACTAAAAAACATTCTTTTAAAGAAAACAATGGAAGTCCGAACTAGTGAAATTCATCATGAAACATTGTCAATCACCTTCAAACAAACATTAGAATTATTATTCAGTTTCATGCAAGTTCAACCATGACAAAGTTCGAAATGTAGTACTACTATAGTCATACTTGAGTAAACCATAACTATATCTTATACAAAAGTTAGAGTAAATCCGTAAGTTGATCACATTGATTTTGAAAATCCAATTCGAAGAAGTAGGAATAGCGCCGGCATAGACCACCCCTACTCCTCCACTTTTGCCATTACACAGTCGACCAATCAGAAGGCACCGCACGAAGCCAACGCGCGCACGGCGGGAAATTTGAACTGTTCCCACTTTAACGAGACAGGCCACTCAACCAAGCGCACCAGTGGTGCCAGTGGCCACCGGTAGCTGAAAATAGGTAAATAGGAGAATTGAACACATATCATCGGCGTGGTAGGCTTCGTCCTTAGCCTCGACACCAACGTGAGATATTGAAAGGAAATGTGAACTGATGATAGTGATGGGGTCTGCGGTTATCTGATATCATCGGCGATTCCGTGTCGAACCTCGAATTGTTCTTAGAATTACGATGACTCAATTTGGACCTCAACATGGTCATCGATTTGACACCTTGACTTAGTCCTCGAATTGATCATCGATTCAACTCAAGGAAAAGCAATGGCCGCGTGTCCAAAGAAAGCTTCGAAGGGTAAATGAACGCCTTGCAGTGTGAACCAATCCTAGAAGACTTTGTCAGGAATCCCCAAATCTTCTTGTCATCCAGGTGTTTAATGTTCGTTTTATAAAATCTAAAGCAATGTCAATGACAGGTTCCGTCATTGACATGTCAGCAGCCTCATTGCCTTTCAGCAATTGGCTGCCAATTCAAACGTTGCTAGGTAGGAGCCAAGAGCTTCCAATGCGCCTTGACTGTCAGAGAACATTTTTATTGACTTGTGTGTAGGGTTGAATTCTACCAATCTCTATGCACATAGTTCAATAGCATAGGTTTCCGCTTGAAATACAGCCACATAGGTCCCTAGGCAGGTTGATATCTCTATCCTAGGTCTGCAACTGAAAACACCTGCACTAGAGCTTGACGGTGTTTTTGATTAATCTGTGAACCAAAAACTATCTGCACTTTTTTTCCCGGAGGATCCCGTCCTCTCTACTCGGGAAAAGTACGGTACAAGGCAGTTCGTAGTTGAAAGTTGGAGGCATAATGTCAGAGGTTGCTATTTCTGGGGTTTGGTGTTACTATGTAACAAATAAAATACTTTCCCCAATCGATAATATTATATATATTACGAAAAGGATCTGAGAATCAATAACTGAGAAATAATGTGCTTCTTCAATGCAGGAAACCAACGGACATTATAAAAACCCTTCATAAGAAGTATATAAAAACAAAGCGATATGTAGTACAGTCAGGGAAGTGGAAATTTCGGAAATGAAATACACTACACTATTCCCTCTCTAAATAAAGAATATTTTAGATAATTCAAAATCATAATCAACAACAAATTCATTCGGTAATGAACACTATGGGGAACAATACAGAGATGACCTCTGTAGTGACCTCTACAGAGGTCATTCCCAGAATGATGTGACATTGTGATCAGTGTCAACCAGCAGTCTGGTGTACTCTTCATTGGATTGATTTGTGCCATTGACGATGTGCACAAGTCTATATGCAGTACATCTAGCCTCTCTCTTCAGAAAAATGTGAAGAGGAGGTACTTCTAAAAGGATCTCCATAGTCACTGAAGTGTGATACGGATGGTACCACATATAACCAGACAATCCTGTCTCTGTAAGCTGGAGAGCTTCGCCTGAACCATTTTCTAAAGTAGCCTTCGACCACCAGCCAATTGCTCCATGAGTAAACTATCATTGGTCCCACAATCATCACATAGATCCAGTGGATTTGTTTGGGATCCAAACCAATTATGCTCAAATAGAAAAAAAACTTCAGTTGCTTGTTTCGATTGACACTGTGTTGGAGATTGATGTTCACCAAACTACGTAGGAATGGAAAGGAAACAAATCCTTTTCCATATCGGAAGAGAGAAATTGTCCAGGAGTCATCGACATTTGAAACGATATTATGAAAAATAATAGAGTTCCTGTGTTAGTCCTCAAAGGACTATATCCATGGAATATAATATGTAAGATTGAAATGAGCACCATTCAGTAAAGATATCAATATTATTTGGATACTCACCTACTCCACTAGAAGTTGCTGACGTCTGGATCTGTTGATATTTTTCCACATTACGGAATGTAGCCACAGCAGGAAAATTGAGAATAGAAAATCCTGCGAACACTCCCAAAGTTTTTTTGAATCCCAGATTTTCCATTAAATGAATCGCCATTGGTGGGCTCATCACAGTACCCACAGAAGTAACCGCCTGAGAAATCCCCATCATTAGGTTTAGTTTCTTGCTGAAGTAGTTATTCATAGTTGTATGTAATGACGGCGTCAATAAACCGTATCCAAATCCTGAAAATTGAACATTCAACTATTTTTTTTTGAAAAATAACTCTCCAACCTTCCTCTACTCGCATCCAATCTCGCAGATCCGCTCAATTTTAGATTTTGGATATTTAAGTGCAGAGATGACCTACAATATAAACATTCCTAACTTCAGTTCTGTTCTGATCACTACAATGGTGAGTGTTCTCAGATTTTGTAATTTTTGATAGTTGATTCGATTCAGATAGATTTCATGTCGACGAAAAGTGGAGTAGATATTTCAATAATTGCTAGATGGGTTCTGAGTAAAGAGAAGAACATTTTCTGCGTCTTTTCAATGAAGTCGATAGTGATGATACCCCGTAACGACGAATCCTATTTCAAGGAGGAATTTTTTGAAAAAAGAGCTATAGAACAATACTTCGAAGGTCTGATCTGATCTTTGTAAAGCATCAAAAGTTAATTGTGTTTGTACAGTTTTCTGATTCAGATCAGTGTTCCTGTGTGGAAGTGGGGCATTGAGAAGTCTGTGAATGTAGCAAAATGGTAGCCTTTTATCGCTACATGGAATTCCAATACTGAGCTGAATATCCTCAAACAGATTACTTATAAAAATGGCTATAACCCCAATATCATCACAAATGTTATTTATGAGGTCAAAAACAAAAGAGAACAAAATCTCACACATACCATTATTGAAGAACCTTCTAAGTATGTATCGTTACTTTTTCAAATGAAAACATTTCCTAAAGAGTCCTCAGGCTGTTCAGCAATAAATTGAAAGTTGCTAAAATTTCCATCAAAAGTTCGAACAACTTGAATAAACATTCAGCCAACTCAAAAGACAAAACTAATAAGTTGTCAAAAAGTGGAATTTACAAACTCAATGGCCATGATTGTGGAGCTTCATACATAGGAAGGACTTGTAAATCTTCAAAAGTTCGAATGAATGAACACTTGAATAAACCAGACAGATCAGCTTTTGGTCGACATATCATTTTCAATCAACATAATTTCAGCTCCAAACGTAATTCACGAATTCTAAAAGAAGTCAATTTGAAAAATGTCAATAGGTTGGATTTTCAAAAAGATTTACGAATTACACAACAATCCTCTTTGTTTGAATACATAAGTACAATTGAATAGATGATAAAATATTCCTTCAGATGGACGACTGAATCAACTAATTCAAAATCAACATTTTTCAAAATCCCAATTGAGTTCTTTGCTCACCTTGGAAAACTTTTACGTACTGTGGTCACTATATATGTCATTTGTCAAACCAAATATGTTCTGTAATAGGTGATGGCAATGTGTCGGTGTCAAATTTCCACTTCCTTTTGCTCCTCATACTCGTCACTCAGTATGCGGAAGGTAGTTTTGTAAAAGGGTTTCAAAAAAAAAGATGAACATGTTGGGCCCAAAAGGTTGCTTATTGTGATGTTCATGTCCACTGAGAGTGGTGTTTTACCAGGATTTTGTACTTTGATTCAACAGGATCTTCTTGTATATACTTGACGAGTAAGTAATTGAAAAAAGGAATTCAAAGTTCAATTTCAAACAAATTTCACACCATAACTTACTTGCAGGTATCGCACTGATGATGGCGTAAAAGCCGAAAGCGCTTCGCGATTCATAAATACATTTTTCACACGAAATACGACTCTATTTCTAATTTATCATAGTAATAGACGTCTGAAAAAGTATATCACTGGAACTCAACATTGTTACCTTTGATAAAACCAAAGCACACCAACATATGTGAGAATGTTGTGCCAAATATTTCTATACAGTATCCTATAAAATAACAAGTCGCTCCAATCAAACCAGTCATTCTTGTAGTATATTTCCGTAGGAGGAAACTTGAGACGAAACCTGGAAAGAGAAGTAGATATAATAGAGAGAATAATAGTGACAATAGTCATTATTATAATCTTGAAATAGGAGCCTCTTAGATGTGAAGACACCTTGACATCTTTCGATAAAACAGACGCTAATATTTTTAAAGTGATTCAGATTGTTTAGGTACTCCTTTCATCCAACCGCGAAGTAGAATATCATCACAGACGTGAGAAAAATCTATTCTTTATAACTTATCACGCGTATTTTTCTTTAAATTAGTACTAGTATTTTGTATTTTGCCTTTTTATTCCTCAATATATAAGAATTTGAATCTTTATGTGCCTACATAGAATAACTCAACCATCTGTAACTCCACTGATTTTTTATGTGAATTCCAGGTGAAAATGAAAAATCTCATTGAACGTATGTGATTGGCTTCATGCTATAACTCACCTGTGAGAGATGAAACTGCAACAAATGTTGAAATCAGCATCGATATGCCACTCTTTTCGTCACCAATAGATGCCATAAATGGGCCATACAGAATCCCAAATGACGTCAGTGGAACAACTGTAGCATACTGAAAATTGAATACGTAAAATTTTCTCAATTTATAATGTGGATATTGTGAATTTTTGAATAATCTGTTAACCATTTGGAAAACACATGAACCACCATATTTTCAATTAGTTTATTGTACAGGGTGAACCAAAAGATCTAGAACGATATAATCAATTGAATGGATTCATTTTTTGGTGCAACTCCCCTTCGGACTTCTCTGACCTGAGGCCTATCACCATTTCACCTTATCTTTCAAAGGTTGTTGAGATTATCATGAAGTAGCATCTTCATAAATGATCACCCGTGCAGTCCGGTTGCACACCTCAACAAAGCACAACCACAGCTTTACTTTCCATCACCGACGACCTCATCAAGGCTGTCAATGAAAGTAAATCAACTTGTTTAGTACTTCTGGACTACAGTAAAGCCTTCGACACTCTTGACTTTGACATCCTGCGCGATAAACTCAGCTTCTTTGGTTTTTCTGTGAATGCGCTGTCTCTGGTTAGAAATTACTCATCGAACCGAACTCAGAGAGTTATGGTGGACGGTATCAGCTCAGAGACTCTGCCCGTAACTTGAGGTGTTCCTCGAAGATTCATCCTTGGTCCTTTACTATTCAGCTTATATATTTGTGACTTCCATCAGTCAGTAGAAAAATGCAACATTCATTACGCATTACGCATCATTACGTAGGTGATACTCAATTGTACTTCTCTTTTCAGCTCCCTGACATTGATTCCGCTCAAAACCTCAATAATCGTGATCTACAGACCATGTTTGATATTTCATCAGCTCATAAATTGAAGATCACCAAGTAATCATATGTTTCAAGATCAAAACTGTTTTGATCTTAATTTGAAAGGATTATATTTTTAGGAGTGACTAATTTCTGGGAAAGAAAGTTTTTGGCTTTCTACTACTCCATCTTGATATACGAACATGTGGGAATCTTCCAAAGAAAGGAAGGAAATAATCAATTCAAAAAGTAACTGTATACATAGATGTATATAGATCATGCAAAAAAACAGATAACCCTTTCGAAACAACGACTTTTATATAAAAATTGAATTACCCGAAAGAAAAATACCTTTCGAAAATACTAATCAAAAAGTAACTGTATACATAGATGTATATAGATCATGCAAAAAAACAAATAACCCTTTCGAAACAACGACTTTCATATAAAAATTGAATTACCCGAAAGAAAAATACTTTCCAAACTACTTCTATAATACGTGTTTTTAGAACTATTTCAAAAACTGAAACTATTCTGTCAATTTGTCAATTTTTTATACTCACTTGAGATACTATTATTGATACCGTCACAATGTACCCCCATCCTCCATCAGGAGGTACAAGTTTATTTTTGTCAACACTCTGTACGGAATTTTTCATTGTCTCGGTTTCGTTCTTACACAATCTGTCTGGTTGAGTGTTAACAAATGCACAGAAACAAGACACTGAATTGATAATATCCACTTTATTATATGTATATGCAAATGGAATATTGTTTTTATAACTTGCTTTTATCAATTAGGAATTGAGTATCAGACTGCAAAAGATAAAAATGGATAATAGTCATTTGAATAATTGAAAAACTAGAATATTTTCAACTCGTTCCGGTTCATCATAATCGTCAGTAGCTTTGTTAGGAAACTGAGTAGTTAGGAAAATACACTGATGAATAAACCTCTGGCGGGTTGAAACAACGCTGTCTAGTATTGGATTATAAATGCGTTAATTTTGAGCTGGGTTTTCAACTGGTTGCCTTGCAGGGGAAGCTGCTGTAAAATACAGAGGACAAATTTCGTTCTACGGTCGATGTTGAAGCTTGGCTTCGCAACTGATCGCTTTGGGAAGTCACATATATCCTTATAGTCTGGGATCTCGCTGCAGAATCACTACGTCCATAGTGTAGTTACCCAAACTCAGATTTTTACACACATTTGTGGATAGGAGAATACATTTACCACAGGGTGCCAGTCAAAATTTAGCCGCAAATATTTTCAATTGAAAAAAGTGAGTGTGCTTCGAACCACACGAGTGAAGTAAAACTTCTTCAGCTCCATCTATACAGGGCTTTTCATGATGAGCGTTAATTAGCCGTTTCTGACAATGTATTCAACGGATCAACCTGAAAATTTCACAGTATGCATAAATTAATATAGGTCACACGCCTAAAATATTTCAGACGAAGCGGCGTTGTCGCTTCTACTATGAAGCAGCGGCTTCTTTGATTTTTCAAATGGAACACCCCGTATATAATATCATATTATGATTCATNTTAAAACATGTTTTTTTTCCGTTAATCAGCTATCGCACCCCATCGAACGACAACCCTCAGAAGGCTAAACTTGTGCGAGCTAAGAACTAACAAGATCTTACTTTTTAACGTGTGATTCCTCCACACTTGATCAGAAGCGCTACACATGACAATCTTTTGAAGAGAGTAGAGGTGGAGATGTGTTTGAACATATTTTGAAATACACTGTCGATTAAATTAACTCATTAATTTATGGGTTTATCATTTTCAGTTCGTGTTTCAGCGTTAATAAAACTATTGGTTGACAATTTCTATTTTTCGTATGTCCTTGAACTCTCTCAGCTATACTTTCGTGGGTCTCTCCAATCTTGGGAACAGAAATAAGTCACGTCGTCATTCACATCTTCTCGACTTCTGTGAGAAGCTTGTACCACTTGGAATTTTTTTTCTGACTCAGAGTACCATCACCGTATGCCACTGTCAATAATTCAAGTGTTTTTGAGCACAAAATTCACTCCTAACTTATATGCTTCTCACCAACAAACTGAACAAAGCTGAAACTGTGAACATATATCCATGACAGACGTACCAACAAAAAAATACAGAAATCGCTAATTAAATGTACGTAACCTGCAAAATTTAAACATTCACCTTATTTTTTGAACAGACCACTATATCAGAAATTTATTCCAAAACGGATTTCAACTTTCGATGAAATAAAAATGATAAAGATAAAGCCAACCAGTTTTAATAATTATTCAAATGAACGTGAACTTTAATTTATTATACATATATTAAAAGTCACTTGGAAGTCTGTGTGCAATCGTGTAGTATTTTAGAAATACAACAATTAGGTACCGAAAACCCACAAAAACATACCCAACAGTATGAAATTGGAGCGATGTGAAATCGAAAATAAAATTGTTCCTCTTGATGGAGGATGGGGATATGTTGTGACTGTTGCTGTTCTAATGGTGGAGGTGAAAAAAAATGACTACTGAATGTAATTAAATATACAGGGTGTAACTAAATAAGTGTAAAACATTTGAAGAGGTGATTCCTCATCATATAAAGAAACTCCATTAGAGCATCCCTTGTTAAGATACAGCCCCTTAAATGGGGTACATAAAATTAGTATAATAATTTTTTTCACCAGCACTGAAAAAGTTACAATATTGAAATTAACCTGACGTTTTGTACCACCAAAAAGATACTTAGCCAGTAATTTATTTGGTTTACCCCATGGTTGTAAGGGGTGGAAAACGCAACCCCTAAAATTTATTTACAATGTAACTTTTTGTCTTATTATTTGTTTACCATTTAAACATTTATTTCCAATAGCCTGTTTCATTCTAAAATTCCAAACAGTGCATCACAAGTGAAAAATATATCCTTACAACAGCCAGTTCTTGATGGTAAGTATAGTGGACGATATATTATTTTTCCTGGATTTCATAGAAATAACGAGTTTTTCTCCATTGGATTGTAGCAATGGTTCTACCTGAGTTTCTGGATGTGCATGTGATGGAACAGCAGCTACCGCTGGAATCACAAATAGAAGGTAATATTATCAAATGAACGTCTCATTTTGTTCCTCATGAAGAAATGTTAAGTAAACTCTACTAAAAACAACTTAAGATATATTCAGTTGGAATTATTTTGATACTTGCTTCAAATATCCAACCAACCTTTAATAATAAGGTCAACTGGGCTGGGAAAGTGAGGGTTTATTAGGCACACTCATCAACATCTTTCAGTATATATTATATATTGATATTTTGGAAAATATTCTGATAATGATATCATTGGTAACAACAATGATGATGATACTTGATAATACCGACAAAGGGGAGGCTGTGGACTTCTGAGTTTAGAGTGTCTACATGACATAATATTACTGGCTGGAGCCTGCAAAGTCATCAGGATTTCGGATCCCGTTTTCTGCATGGTCCGCTTTCATGAGAGAGCTGGAATATGAGCATTTCCCTTCAGGGCAGCTGCTCGAGAAGCTGGTGAACTAGATTCAGTTCTCGACAATGAACGAAGTGAAAACCAAGTGTCACCAACTTGGAGTCCGTTCAGCAAACGGATTCCGACAACAAAAGGATAAGCCAATTCATGGGATTTTCTTTAACAAAATTGAAGACCTCGACTTATCAAAGCGCATTACCTTCGCTTTCCTCAGGTCGAGTAGGCTGAATTCGAAACCAGAGGGTGCCATCATGTTCCGCCAGGATGGTGTCTTCATCATATTGGTCTACCGTAGTCACATTACGAGTATTTGTCTCTCTTTTAAAGAAACTTTCACGGGATATAATAATGCCAGGTCAGATAATTCCGCTTTGCACTTCGATAAGTTTGTTAGGGGTTAAAATGGACACCAATATGTTTCGGCACAATCATGTCACTGGAATTGCAAAGGCTTCTAATCAAAAGCTTGGAACACTGTTCCGAACCAGAAAACTGTAGACACTTCAGGTACTGTTGATGCTTTATAAAACTCAGATCAGACCTTCTTTGGAGTATTGTTCTCATGTATGAAATTCTGCCCCTAACATATCCTGAATTTACAGGGTTCCATCCAGAAAAGAGCCATTGCTGATTGAAGACACAAACATCACGTGCAACCTTGAAAGGTTGAAGATTTGCCTCTCTTCTATAGATACTTTCACGGGAAGCGTTCAAATGGGCAACAAGGATTTTCCTGTAGTGTGTGAGTTTTGTCCTTAAAAAAAAGTATAGAGGTTTCCGACACAAGGTGCAGGACCTGCCGCGAGCAGTCCGAGACCCTTATGCACTTGCTGTCAGCATGTACGGCAAATGTGGTCTCAGCCTATATTGACATAATGCGACCCTCTAAGAATGCTTAACATATCCGGCACCTTCACGGTATTGACGAGATACCGATGTTGCCCTATGCTACGGGGAATATTGAATACGTTCGTTCTAGGGCATTAGAAGTGCCGAATTAAAAAAAATATTCATTCTCTACCATCAGAGCAAGACGATATTCGTCGTGAAGTGTTCAACTCCCGACGAAATTCATGCGAAAAGAGGAGTAAATACGAATGATATACAGAAATGTTGTTTTCGAACTCCACAGACATTGGTGCAATGATGTCATCTCTTTTCTCGAAAATGAAGATGATGCCAGCTTGTCATATGAAGGCGAAAATCTTGGCCGGACAAATGCAGAAGGTTGTCATTCTTAGCTCAATGTGTCTGCTATACAATGAATACTCCACACGGTATGAGAACTGGTCATTCGCTGATAATGGCGACAGAGCCCAACTAGCTCAATCTTTGAAAAAATAATAATAATGTTAATGCGTCATATACAGGGCTATTCAAATTCGTTTGTGTACTTGGGGATCTCGTAAACGACTAGAGATAGGGAGTCGGTTAAATTGTGATAAAGTTGTGTATTTTAGAGACATATTCAATGATGTGAATGAATCGAATAAAGCTCTTTTGGTTCTGGAGATTTACATAACTCATTGGATTTGTCAGACATGCCACCGCATGATTTATAAATGAAGGTTAAATCGCTTCGTTACTTGAATTTGTCACGGCTATGCAACAGCACACGATTGTTCATTAAAAAATCAATAAAAACCGTTGATGCTGCCAGCGGTTCGGTCAGTCGGTAGTCAGGCGATTCGACGTGGGTGCTTGGGTGCTCACTCGAATAGACTGTCGTGCTGGTCGGTGGTTCAAGGCCTAGTCTGAACAATCGATTTTCACCTGTTAACGTCCAACCCGTGTTAGGAATCACACGTTAAAAGGTTAGACATCGTTAATCCTCAGCTCGCACAAGTTTCGACTTCTGAGGGTTGTCGTTCGTAAGGGTGCGACAGCTGGTTAACGGAAAAACAGATTTTTTTCAAAACAGATTTCAGCAAGTTCCGAGATGAGAATATAATAATATCACGAATCTCTTATTATCTACAGATGTGTCAATTCATTTAAAACGTGTTCAATTTAGTAGGGATGGCCTCATTACCCAGTCGACCAATCAGAATGAGACGGGCCGATTTGTCATATGAGTGTGAGAGAGATAGAGATGGTATCGAGCTAATTCATCTCAAAGATCACAAACGTTTGTTAGCGCAAACAGTTTGGTGTTGTCAGTTGTAAAATACAGCATTGTTTGTGGGGTCGATGTGACTCATGGGGCGTTGTTGGTTTTTGAAATTAGGCGTGGGTAGAAAAAAAAATTACGTTGACGATAATGGAGGGTCTAACGTTTCAAAGTTCGATCCAACACGTCAAAAGGGCAGTACGAGCTCTCACTCTTTCTCCGTTTGTAACTTGGATTTGGGCACACCGTTTTTTACGCGGACAATAATACGTGGCATGCTCTCGAGTGAGCAAACCATCCAGTTTGTTTGTTTTAGCTAAACATGGACTAACGGACAATACTGTATGCACTATAACATCGAGAGAGTAATATTATTTGTGAGTGTTATTGTTCTGATAGAAATAATTCATGTGGCAAAATGACGTTTGCAGGGTCAGCTAGTATGTTTATAATGTCTTTTATCGAAATCACCAGTATCAACAAAATATGTTCGAGAGCGTAAATACTTCATGAACCTGAATTTATACAGATGTACATTCTCAGAATGTTGGTACAAAAATGTCATTTCATGAGATACATTCTATAGAAATTCTATCAGATTTCATGGAATAGACAATTTTCAGTAAGGAAAACCAGTTGCCGAACTTATTTACGATCAGCTGATGGTATATGTCCTCAATTTGAAAGATAGTCAACAGTCCCAAAAAGTAACAAATGTAGCGGAACCTAATAGCGAAAACCTCATTCACTTATTAGAAAATTTATTTTAAGGCAATGAAATTCCAGTATACTTACTGATTAATGATCCAATGAGAAGAAACGAAATTCCTGATATCACCATATATAAGGAATATGCTGTTGAGAAGTCTTTTTTGTATCCACTCGATATCACTAATGGTAAAGAAGTTTCTTGGAATCCTTTCGAAATTCCGATCAGACCCATCACCACCTTTCGCCATGTGTGGCCCTCAATAAGAATGAAAGCTGAAAAAAGTTATTGATTGATTGAACTTCAGTTTTATTTTGAATCAACATGAACATTTTCCTTCAATTGAATGCCATCAATTCAATCAACAGAAACCTCAAACTGTTCACGGTGATCTATCGCAAAGTGAAACTTCGATATTGACCATCGAATAAGAAATTGTTATCTCTGTTTATCTGCAACTTTTACTGAAAAACAGAGCCCAATAACAAAGCATTCGTTTATTCCATTATGAGGTATTCACACAACACAGTTCAATGTGAGGCTTCCACTTGAGAAGTTATAAAACCACGAGGTGTGTTTCACTATACAAAAGCTTCCGCAACAAGTGCTTCACTATACGATAGCTTTCGCAACAAGTTTCACTATACAAAAGCTTCCACAACAAGTGTTCCACTATGCCATAGCTTTCGCAACAAGTGTTTCACTATGCGATAGCTTCCGCAACAAGTGTTTCACTAGACAAGAGCTTCCACAACAAATGTTTCACTATACAATAACTCCGCAACGAGTGTTGCGGAGAGATAGAGACTATACAATAACTCCGCAACGAGTGTTTCGCTTTACGATAGCTTCCGCAACGAGTGTTTCATTACACGATAGTTTCGCAACAAATGTTTCATCATAAGATAGCTTCCGCAACAAATGTCCGTCATAAGATAGCTTCCGGAGCAAATGTTTCACTATACAAAATCTTCTGCAACAAATATTTCACTATACAATAGCTTCCGCAACAAGTGTTTCACTGAATGATAGCTTCCGCAACAAATGTTTCACTATACCATATTTTCTGCAAGTGTTGTGGCGCTCGAAGTATAGCAAAACACGTTTTTTGGTTTTATGAACTTTCAAGTGGAAATCTCACTTCGAAGTGTGTTTTTTTAATTTCTTTATACTCGAGAAAAAGCGGAACACATAATGGTGCTAGAAAAATGTAAAATCAACTGAACTAAGTTATATTGTAGAAACATATTTGAGTTCTAAAAACTGAAAAAATGCCTAGTTCATACAATACGTATGAACTACTATGTCTAACAGACCTTTTTACAGATCACTGTCATTTGAATCATCATAGGCAGAGACTCGGACTGTCGGAAGACGGTGTGTGTCGCCTCTGATTGGAAAATGATGATAAAGCAGAGCACATACTTTGCATATACTTTCCAGAAGCTGGGGTTTATTTGGTCGAGTCTGAATAGGTGTGAGCTACAATAAACCCTTGCGGATTGCGTTGAAGGCTCGAATAGACCCACTCACTTTGGACCTAACCTAACTAAACTACTATTGCATAAACTGAGACAAATATCGAAAAAAACTAGTTTTAACTTTTGGTATTTTCATAATTTGTACTATAGTATGCCGATGAGTTCAGTTATTCTGAGAGTTGTCGTTTGTATAAGGGCGACAGCTGATTAAAGGAAAAACAGATTTTAAACAGACAGACAGAACAGATTGGCAAAATATCAATTACGTTATTGAAAAATATGACGAGTATCTCATGAAATTCAAATTCATATCGCTGAAAACTTTATTGCCTACTTTTTCATTATCAAGACCTCAATAAAACATATGTATGAAGTGCGTTGTGTCAAAATTTGATAAAGAAATAATTTTCATTTCAATGTTGTTCTTGGGAATGAATTTGAAAACACTGAAATTATTCGAAACTAATGAAGAGTTATAGAAATTTTTCTCTAAAATATACCTAGGAGGTTCACGCTACAAAATATAATATAAAAAAATATCGTTTCAAAATTTCACTTACATGCTAACACTTTCAATTGTCAGGTGTACTACGAATTGTCGGGTTGAAACACATGTCTTTAACTCCTCATTAGCATCTTCTCAGATGACTTTGAAAGAGTTGAAGTTAGGTGTTTTCACCCGAGACTTCGAAAAATTTCAATAATATACATGGTGTTCTATTTAAAATTGAGAATTTACCACAGTTACATGACAAATCTCGAATGATTTTTTTCAACACACCTTCATTTATTCATGATCAAATTCATTTTATGTGTATGATTCACTATGTGTATGAAAAATAATAATGTTTTTCCATCACCAATCTGTCTTTCTTACCTATTCGAAATAATGCTATGCAAAGAGCGGACACCAGGAAAATGTTTCTGTTGTTAATGACATAAAAGCCACTTAAAGCTGAATAAAGCAATTTCGAGAGAACATCGAAAAAAAAGTAGATCATCATCATCAGAGCTATCTCGGATGATTTGAAATCCATATTGTTGAGAATCGTGCTGATGAGAGAAAGGAAAATACCATCAGTGACAAATGGAAGAGATAATACTACTGCCATGTTGATATATTCCATATTTCCCAATAACCTCAAGCCGATAGTGTCTCTGAAAATTGAAATTCACAAAATTTTTGGAATTAATTTATTCAACTCATTCAATAGCCTTCTTGTTGTGAGGTGAATCCAGATGTATATGAAAGGTGCGAGACTCAATTGGAATCATCCCCCGATGATGCCATTTTTGTTAACGATACGCCCGTAGAAAGACACTACCAGGGTGGTCTGAAAAGTTTCCGACCTCAACATGAAGATAGCAGCACTCGTGAACACTTGTTTTGGACAGGTGACAGAAAAGATAGCAACTCTGGGAGAAGTGTGTAGAGTCAAAAAAAACCATTTAAAAAGTTAAACAAAATCTGAAAAAATGTCTCGTATCTGTGTTAGATCGGAAACTCTTTAGATCACCCTCGTACTTTTGTTCTGGTAGGAAAAAATTGTTTTCGATGGGCAACATCCTAGTTAATGATATTGTGGAAAAAACAGATTTTTTAAGATGTTGATATCTACAGGATGTCTTCAATATCTTAGAACAGAATTCTTCAAAGGCCCAAAAGTTATTCTATCCAAAATCTTATGAGTCAGATACATACTTCTTTAGGTCCTATGTGTTAAAAATAATCAGATAAAAACATTAAAAATATAATCAGGTGAAAAAAACAATTGACAATATACCTCAAAGAAAACATTGAATATGAAAATATCCATTCTGATGTAACAGGTGTTTGAAAATGGTTATTTGAATCATCAGCCATCATAACTTCGAAAACCAAATATGATCATTTATTTTGAGGAAAAACCTCTTTGGGTTTTTGCTTCTCCATTCATTTATCACGAAAATTTAAAAACAAGAAACATTTAAACTATTTATGAAACACTGTAGAGAAACAGAACGAAAACAAAAATTATTTTCGCCAAGTACTTCAGGTCATAAACATTTTATATTCGTATTGAAAAACATATCATTCATTGAAAATACTGTTGAAAATACTTCCAGATTCCTATTAAGGAATCAAAAAACACTTTTCTGTTACAACTGAGATTGAGTCTGGTTAGAGGGAATTGAGGAATGCTCAATATCTTAAATCAAGTACCTTTGCCAACAAATACTAACCTTACCCACTAATTGGAGATATATGTGGTAAAGACATGTAACCTCAAAATATTTTGCATGAAAAATCGAGTCTACGCTATGAATAGTTGACCTACTTTCATCAAGAAGATGAAAGCAGTATAGTTTCTCAAGAATATAATCAACGAAATATATATTGAATATTACTGGAGTTTTTTCCCCAACACCAAACCGTTTAATGTTTCTCTTGAAGATAGAAACACGTGTTGAGGTTTTAAAATAACTGTTTGGTGTTGGGATTGAACTCCAGTAATATTCATTACTACACCAAAAGTTCCAAACAGTGCATCACAAGTGAAAAATATATCCTTACAACAGCCAGTTCTTGATGGTAAGTATAGTGGACGATATATTATTTTTCCTGGATTTCATAGAAATAACGAGTTTTTCTCCATTGGATTGTAGCAATGGTTCTACCTGAGTTTCTGGATGTGCATGTGATGGAACAGCAGCTACCGCTGGAATCACAAATAGAAGGTAATATTATCAAATGAACGTCTCATTTTGTTCCTCATGAAGAAATGTTAAGTAAACTCTACTAAAAACAACTTAAGATATATTCAGTTGGAATTATTTTGATACTTGCTTCAAATATCCAACCAACCTTTAATAATAAGGTCAACTGGGCTGGGAAAGTGAGGGTTTATTAGGCACACTCATCAACATCTTTCAGTATATATTATATATTGATATTTTGGAAAATATTCTGATAATGATATCATTGGTAACAACAATGATGATGATACTTGATAATACCGACAAAGGGGAGGCTGTGGACTTCTAAGTTTAGAGTGTCTACATGACATAGTATTACTGGCTGGAGCCTGCGAAGTCGTCAGGATTTCGGATCCCGTTTTCTGCATGGTCCGCTTTCATGAGAGAGTGATCACAACTCTGTCACCAACTTGGAATCCATTCAGCAAACGAATTCCGACAACAAAAGTCTACATTAGTCTACCGTAGTCACATTATGAGTATTTGTCTCTCTTTTAAAGAAACCTTCACGGGATATAATAATGTCAGGTCAGACAATTCCGCTTTCCACTTCGATAAGTTTGTTAGGGGTTAAAATGGACACCAATATGTTTTGGCACAATCATGTCACTGGAATTGCAAAGGCTGCTTCTCAAAAGCTTGGACACTGTTCCGAACCAGAAAACTGTACACACCTCAGATCAGATCAGACCTTCTTTGGAGTATTGTTCTCATGTATGAAGTTCTGCCCCTAACATATCCTGAATTTTCAGAGTTCCATCCAGAAAAGAGCCATTCCTGATTGAAGACCCAAACATCACGTGCAACCTTGAAAGGTTGAAGATTTGTCTCTCTTCTATAGATACTTTCACGGAAAGCGTTCAAATGGGCAACAAGGATTCCCATGTAGTGTGTGTGTTTTGTCCTTAAAAAAAGTATAGAGGTGGTTTCCGACACAAGGTGCAGGACCTGCCGCGAGCAGTCCGAGACCCTTATGCACTTGCTGTCAGCATGTACGGTAAATGTGGTCTCAGCCTATATTGACATAACGCGACCCTCTAAGAATGCTTACCATATCCGGCACCTTCCCCTCCGGGAAATATTGAATACGTTCGTTCTAGGGCATTAGAAGTGCCGAATTAAAAAAAAATATTCATTCTCTACCATCAGAGCAAGACGATATTCGTTGTGAAGTATTTAACTCCCGACGAAATTCGTGCGAAAAGAGGATGAAATACGAATGATATACAGAAATGTTCTTTTCGAACTCCACAGACTCTATCCAGTCCACTCTGTTATGATGGTTCTTCTGATTATTAGAGTCATTGGTGCAATGATACTCTTTTCTCGAAAATGAAGAAGATGCCAGCTTTTCATATGAAGGCAAAAATCTTGGCCGGACAAATGCAGAAGGTTGTCAGTCTTAGCTCAATGTGTCTGCTATACAATGAATACTCCACACGGTATGAGAACTGGTCATTCGCTGATAATGGCGACAAAGCCCAACTAGCTCAATCTTTGGAAAAATAATAATAATGTTAATGTGTCTTATACAGAGCTATTCAAATTCGTTTGTGTACATGGGGATCTCGTAAACGATTAGAGATAGGAAGTCGGTTAAATTGTGGTAAAGTTGTGTATTTTAGAGACATATTCAATGATGTGAATAAATCGAATATAGCTCTTTTGGTTCTAGAGATATACAGGAAAAACGAAAAAATCCCAAATTATTTTTCTGCCTATATCTTCTTTATTGAACAGAAAAAAAAATGATAGCAATAATAACATCCGAAACGAACACTATAATTGTAATGAAAATTGAAATGAAGTAATGTATAGGTACCCAAAAAAATTATTGAAATGAAGTAATATATAGGTACCCCAAAAATTATTGGCGCAGAAAATGTTCGAATTGGAGTCCTTCCATTTCGAGACATTTTTAAACTCGGTTTTTCATATTATTCATTGCCCTTAATACACTTATTTGCTGCATTGTTGCGAAATCATTCAAAATCCTCAATCTGGAGTCTTCCACATTTTCTATCTCTCTGCGAGCGTAAATCCTATTTTTCAATGTCCCCCATAGAAAATAGTCCAAAATAGTAAGATCTGGTGATCTTGCAGACCATCTTATTGTCCTATTATTTGTCTCGAAATGAAAGGACTCCAATTCGAACATTTATTGCACAATTCAGTTTTTTGTGTACTTAATTACTTACTTCATTTCAACTTTCATTATAATTATAGTGTTTGTTTCGGATGTTATTATTGCCATCATTGGCAATCATTGGTTTTTCCTGTATATCTGCAAAACCAAAAGAGCTTTACATCATTGAATAGGTCTCTAAAATACGCAACTTCGCCGCAATTTAACCAACACTCTATCTCTTATCGTTTACGAGATCCCCATGTAGAAAAACGAATTTGAATAGCCCCATATATTCACAGCAGGCTTGACATCATCAATTATTGTCTGGGTGGCGTCATTCAACATTGGTGCTCTTCCATACAACCCCTCAAATCAAAAATTGTGAGATATAAGTGAAAATGTCAAAAAATGAATTGAAAACAAATATATATTGAAAATTATTCCAGCAAAAGTTGAATGAAGCCTGAGAGGCATCATTCAACATTGGTGCTCCCCCAAAAAACTTTCCAAATTGAAAATGTGGAGACATAAATGAGAATATCAAAATTGAAATGAAAACAAATACATTGGAAAGTATTCCAACAAAAATGAATATAAGTAAAATACAATTAAATAAAATTTTATCTATCCAATACTCAGGCAGTGAAATGTTGTTTGTCTTTGTCTTTGGAATACATTTGATGATAGAATCTGCTGAGGAGTTGTAGACTTCTACAGATGAATATGAAAGTGGCCGTCAAAAGAATACAGTTTTGCGTGGTAGAATACAATATTCACCAGAGATCCATATGAATAAACAATGTATGTCAGATTTTTTCAGAGGTTTAGATGTTAGGTAAATTGTAGCATTGGAATACTCAGTGATCCGGTGGTTCAGCTTCCTTGTCGGGAAGGTGGGGACGGGCCTATTAGATTAATTAGGTTTTCTTTCGAAGCGACATTTCGAATTGCTGAAACAATCATCTAGGGAGGAATGCCCTCAAATCTAAAACAAAAACATGGAGTTTGGGAATTAGAATTACTTTATAGGCTGTACGTGAGTCAACTCACCTCCAATCTTGATGTTTCTCGCTGTGAACCAGATGATCCACATTGTCAAGAGAAACAATGGTCTCATCAAGATGACAAAAAAATGGTCTCTGGTATATTTTTCATGAAACAGTATTGAAATGTAATTTTCTTTGACTATGAAAAAGACAGTGAACGCTATGTTGCAAATGAAACTATCTGACTGGGGCCCTGTCTGTTTAATGTCTATAAATTCATGAGCACAGACAGCTACTAAGGAGTGCAGAACTACAGCTGCAATCATTATAAAACTGTGAGCTGGAGAATATGGATAGGACTGTCAATGAACAAAACTTTCACCTGTTATCCCACAAACACTTTGTTTCATTGAAATTTAAAGTAGAAAGCGTTTAATGAAAGACCCTATTGGAAACCAATTTTTTTTTCAATTTCCACTATTCAGGAGTATATCAATGTTATTTGGGAAAAACATATGTCGTTACGGTTTTATTTTACCTTTTTAGATGTTAAGAAGAAGAACCTAATAGTGGGTCAAAATCAAACAACTTTACCTCTAGCATTAACAGTGTACACTTTCGGTATATAAACTAAAAGGTTAAGGAATTTAGCGCATGTAACTAGTAAATTTATGACGAATAATTGTCTCAAGAACATAATATTACCATACAATTTACAAGATTGCATTTTTGCATCTATCGCAATATTTACATGAAGATCTGCCTTTGACCCCTGTCTACCATAGCCCCTCTTTTTTTTCTTTTCCTGTCACTCCTCTCACTCTTTTCCTTAGTCAAATCAGGCTAGCTATCATTTATAATTGCGATTTCCCCAACTGCCAAACGTCTTTCATCGACGGACTCTTGTTTTGAGATATTTATCCAGCTCCGGTTCCACAACATTGTCACCCTGTCAATTGTCAACGACAAGCAATCAAGATTTATTTGATTTCATTAAGGATTATCAAACTTGATAGGTTGTTTAATTTTAATTTTAATAGTTGGTATAACGATTCGGGTTTTATTTATTTTTTTTTTGTTCGATAAAGAACCCCACCCGTCTCCACTGAGCAAGAGTATGTTCAGAAAGGATTAAATATTTTGCTGCTAACGGTCAACCAAGCATCACAAAGCGTTGTATTCCTTGGTTCCGAAGGTCAGAAGTAGCAAAGTAAAAAATTCATCAACTCTCTTCTTTTACTCACTGTATAACAAATAATAATAAATTCTTTGTATTCAAGGAAAGTCAGACAACTACCTGTAAGAGATGTCACTCACCAATTTTGCATGTATGTTACAGTTGATGCGTGAAGTCTTGTGTATAATATCAGGAAAATAAAATTTGTCTCATTACTAATTATTATCTTCTTTTATTATTTTCATTATCTATACTTTCATACATTTACAACTGAAAGGTGAA